CAGTTGCTCAAATCAAATAGCATACCAAAAGTACCAGTGCACGTTTCCCGGTTTGGTGCCATTCATTATATACCAATAAGAGGTGCTAGTAGATTTGAAGTACATTGTGTAGGACTTTATTTAGTACTAAAAGCACGTAGCAGTAGCATATATAACAATCTACTTATCTCATGGCACATTACATTTCTGTCATGCCAGATTTTTTACACGGAGATTTAATTGAGGAAAATTAAGAGGTTAGTGAATAACTCTGAGGGTCTCACTTCCTGCCCCTTGTAGTGTATGTGTGTAATGTGCATAGTATTTGCTGGCTGTGTGTAATTTGAATATGATGGCTGTGTGTAGTGTGTGTGTGTATGCAGGGTTGCATGTGTGTGTGTGTGTTGTGTGCTGGCTTGGGCTACATGAATTTCACATTCCTGCTTTATGATATTTATAAACCACAAAGAATAATGACACACAATATTCTCAAAATGCTCACACTCCACAATAAAACCTTATATTAGTTTTCCAGGCTACTTCGTGCCATTATTATACCCCTCAGAGACAGTTACAAGCACAAACAGTGACTGTGTTAGAGTAACAATGTTAAAGGAGACTCTTCGGTCAACTAAAGCACTTCAGCTGGCTGAAATGCTGAATTGCTTTATGTGTGAAGCGTTTTCCAGGCTACTTCGTGCCATTATTATACTTCAGAGACAGTTACAAGCACAAACAGTGACTGTGTTAGAGTAACAATGTTAAAGGAGACTCTTCGGTCAACTAAAGCACTTCAGCTGGCTGAAATGCTTTGTGTGTGAAGCGTGTGTTTTCTTTGTTTTACAAAAAAAGTGCAGATTGCAATATTTTAGTATATATCATAAATTAAATTAACTTTGTTACATCCCCTGTCTGTGAAACAACAGTCACTACTACTTCCTGGCTGTTTAGCTCAGTGGTGCTCACCAACCAGGTTGCTCAGTGCACCTGCTGTGGAAAGACTTCTCCTTTGGGAAGTCTGTGATTGGACAGCAATAGAAAGTCTGGGGTGGGTTAGAAGATTTATACAACAGCCAGGGCTGTCTTTAACGCGGGGCAAACGGGGCAGCTGCCCCGGGCCCAGTTGCTCCTGGAGGGCCCCAGAGCAGCTGCCCCATGGGCACCGCGATTTGTGCAGTCCCCAAGGACTCGCACACTAAGGAGGTCCCATGCACTAAGGGCCACCAGGTGGGCAAGTGTCAGCAGGGGCCCGGTCGGGCGCTGTGACGCTTAAACAGCGCGACCGGGCCCCTTCCTGTTCGGCAGCCGGCTGGGAGAAAGTGAGTGCCGAGCATCACTTCCTCCCACCGGAGATCAGAGCCGTGCGGAAGGAGGAAGGGGAATTCCAGAAGAGAACTCCCAACTTCCTCAGCCTGCCACTGGACCCCAGGGAAACTACCCTCCAGAGAAAGGTAAGAACCTGGAGGATGGCTAAATGTATGTCAGTATGTGTGTGTATGTTCGTGTGAGTAGGTCTCTGTGTGTGTGTGTGCGTGCATGTCTGTATGTCTAAGCCAGTATGTCAGTGTGTGTGTGTGTGTGTGTGTCAGTATGTCTGTGTGTGTCAGTATGTCTGTCAGTGTGTCTGTGTGTATGTATGTCTGTGTATGTGTCAGTATGTCTGAATGTGTGTCAATATGTCTGCCTGTATATATTTGTGTGTCAGTATGTATCTGCAAATGTTTTAATATGTCTGTCTGTGTGTGTATGTGTCAGTATGTCTGTCAGTGTGATTGCGGATTGGGCGTAATTGGGGTGTAATTGGGGCAGGGCCCAGGGGCCCCAAGAAAATGCATTGCCCAGGGTCCTATTCATATTATAGTCGGCCCTGACAACAGCAATGAAAACATGCATCCATTTAACAATTATATATATATATTGAAAGTATTTATTTGGGCAGTGGAGTGTCCCCGTAAGATGAACAAAACAAATACAGATATACTAGAGAGATCACTGAAGTGGTCATGGTGCTTGGAGTAACCCTCTAATGGTACATGCTTCTACAAATGGAAAACCAAACAAACTTGAAAACACGAAAAAGTGCTGATCCAGCTGGGTTAGCAACTTATTCCGTACGAGTAGCTGCAATTACCAAGGCATCTCTTATTGGTTTGCCACCAATGAGAATGCAGCATTTGGGGGAGAAGAGAAATCGAACAAAATAATGGCTACATTCAACTGCATTTGCTGCTTTAATTTATTGCCCCATTTCATATATCATTGAGATGTGTACTTTCATTATTAACATGTTATTTAATACAGACTGTCCTGCTATTCCAGTACCGACTGTTGGTCTATGTATTAGACAAGGTAAGGCCACATGGAAATAAATTTTCCTCCTGACACAGTTTGGATTTTGTTGGTTAGGTATAACCAGCCTGCGTTGGTCGCAAATGGTTCCTATAGGCCTGAATTTGCTAAGGCATTTGCAAGTTGAAATTCCATCAGGAAGCGAAGATCTTGGCATGGTCTCTACCATACAACTTCTCAGGACCATTTTAAAAGAAACCATGACCCAAACCTCATCACACACTAATCTAAGCTTATACCCAAGGCCCAGTTGTGCAGTGGTAAAAGCAGTAGAGCTAGTGAAAGGTGCCTGCATTTTACAATATCAGATTTTTCAAAAGGAAGAGATCATGGTGTTCAAACATTGAGAGCTAAAATGTGCCAAACGGGAGAGATGGTTTTCACCTTGCACATATTGGCATAGACATTTTTAATGCAGGGTTGTAGGTGTCAATAGAACAGGGTTGGAAGGGGTTCATTGCCAGTCTGGTGCATGTATAATAGAATGAGAACTTTGCTCTACTCTCTTGGAAGTAGTGAGACTTTGGATGTGTCGGTGGTTCAAGGATTTTCAAATCTAACAGTTGAGTTTAGGCTGGGCTTATGTTATATTTAAAGAGGACCTGTCACTTCATAAATTACAGCAATGACTAAACCATTATAAAACATCTATCACTTGTGCAAACCATTCTTTCATAAGAGCTCATTTTCTTTTAAATGCATATTAAAGATTTAGCAAATTACACTAAACAAAATTATAAATGCAACACTTTTGTTTTTGCCCCCATTTTTCATGAGCTGAACTCAAAGATCTAAGACTTTTTCTTTGTACACAAAAGGCTTATTTATCTCAAATATTGTTCACAAATCTGTCTAAATCTGTTAGTGAGCACTTCTCCTTTGCTGAGATAATCCATCCACCTCACAGGTGTGGCATATCAAGATGCGGATTAGACAGCATGGTTATTGCACAGGTGTGCCTTAGGATGGCCACAATAAAATGTGCAGTTTTACCACAAAGCACAATGCCATAGATGTCGCAAGTTTTGAGGGAGCTTGCAATTGGCATGCTGACTGCAGGAATGTCCACCAGAGCTGTTGCCTGTGAATTGAATATTCATTTCTCTACCATAAGCAGTTTTCAGGGAAGCTCATCTGCAGGCTTGTCGTCCTCATCAGGGTCTCGACCTGACTGCAGTTCGTCATTGTAACTGACTTGAGTGTCTGGCACTCTGGAGAGGTGTTCTCTTCACGGATAAATCCCGGTTTTCACTGTACAGGGCAGATGGCAGACAGCGTGTATGGCGTTGTGTGGGTGAGCGGTTTGCTGATGTCAACGTAGTGGATCGAGTGGCCCATGGTGGCGGTGGGGTTATGGTATGGGCAGGCATATGTTATGGACAACGAACACAGGTGCATTTTATTGATGGCCCAATGTACCATTCATCCACGACCATCACCTCATGTTGCAGCATGATAATGCACGGCCCCATGTTGCAGGGATCTGTACACAATTCCTCGAAGCTGAAAACATCCCAGTTATTGCATGGCCAGCATAGTCACCGGACATGTAACCCATTGAGCATGTTTGAGATGCTCTGGATCGGCGGATACGACAGCATGTTCCAGGTCCTGCCAATATCCAGCAACTGCACACAACTATTGAAGAGGAATGGACCAACATTCCACAGACCACAATCAACAACCTGATCAAGTCTATGTGGAGGAGAAGTGTTGCACTGCGTGAGGCAAATGGTGGTCACACCAGCTACTGACTGTCTTCTTTGGATCCCCCCAATACAGTAAAACTGCACATTTTATTGTGGCCAGCCTAAGGCACACCTGTGCAATAATCATGCTGTCTAATCAGCATCTTGATATGCCACACCTGTGAGGTGGATGAATTATCTTGGCAAAGGAGAAGTGCTCACTAACACAGATTTAGACAGAATTGTGAACAATATTTGAGAGAAATAGGCCTTTTGTGTACAAAGAAAAAAAAAAAAAAGTCTTAGATCTTTGAGTTCAGCTCATGAAAAATAGGGGCAAAAACAAGAGTGTTGTATTTATAATTTTGTTCAGTGTGTATAAAAAAAACAAACCCAATACAGACAAAGGTAAAACATAGATCTAACAAATAAATAAAAAGAGCAAAATAGATACTTTGTTTCATTTCTACTCTATGCAACAAGGCCCGTGAGCTAAAGTGTACTTTTTCACGTATTTTATACAAACTGTCATACCACCTGCTGTACTGGTGAAATCAACATGTTTTCCCTTTCGTTAAACATTCTCATTTATAAGTTTGGTAGCAACTCCCACTTCAATGAAAACATTTAATGAATATACAGTTGGAATCCTCTCCACATCTGACAAAGCAGTATCTAGCTGCTGGTAATAGCATGTGTCTGGTGGTGATAAAAAAAATCCCCATATATCTTTATCTTATAAAATACAAGCTCCTTTATTCAAGTGTAATCTTTTTCAACCATTGCGCTGATTAAAGAAACAAAAAGGTACACACAAAGAAAAAGTGTTTTCATTAACTACTGAATCTTCTTTCTAGAAAACGCAAAGCGCAATTTAGTTCAGATTAGACTTTAACGAATTTAAGTTTAACCACAGTATTTTAACATCTATATTCCCAGCTGTAAGTACTAGTATTTTAAGACTCCATGATCATAATAATATAGCTTACCAGTTTCTTCTTTAAGCAAATGTCCATTAGAGTTGTACCATTGAAAATGAGGATCTGGATGACCCTGGATATTGCACTGGATTACCACGCTGCTCCCCTCCTTTACAATGATGTGATCTACTCTCAATGTGATCACAGGTAAACATTCCAACATTGCCTCTGTTGAGTTCGAGGTATGGTTTGAAAGATCTTCTGAGTGTGTCGTTACGCGGGAACAGATAAGCAAGAACGCTAGTGGCAAAAGCCAAAAGGTTTTACAGTCTGCCATGATGATCTTGTATCCCCTCACCCGTCTGTTTAAAGATTTAGCATTGCAGGCTGATGTTATCCCAGTTCCGGATATTAAACCTAAAAATAAAATAAATAAAAAAAAAAAAAAAAAGAAGAGGAAACAGCTGTGATTTTCCAGGCAGTGAAAGCACCAACAAGCAAAACAAATGTAAGTCTGCTAACTATTGCATTGGTAATCAAACTTCTTGATTTTGAGTTGACCGAGTACATGTTTGCAACAAAGACAAATACATGGAATTCTTGGTCCGATTATATAAAACATATATATAAAATAGTTGGGTTTGGGTATAAAAATGTTTAAAGGACCACTACAGTGCCAGGAAAACATACTCTTTTTTCCTGGCACTATAGTGCCCTGAGGGTGCCCCCACCCTCAGGGAACCCCTCCCGCCGGGCTCTGGGAGGAGGAAGGAGTTAAACTTGCCTCTTTCTCCAGCGCCGGGCGGGGAGCTCTCCTTCTCCTCTTCGGTTGAATGCGCATGCGCGGCAGGAGCCGCGCGCAGCCAGTCCATAGGAAAGCATTCATAATGCTGGTGAGAGAAACGCGGAAGCCCTCTAGCGGCTGTCAATGAGACAGCAACTATAGGCTGGATTAACCCCAACATAAACATAGCAGTTTCTCTGAAACTGCTACGTTTATAGAAAAAAGGGTTAATCCTAGATGGACCAGGCACTCAGACCACCTCATTAAGCTGAAGTGGTCTGGGTGCCTAGAGTGGTCCTTTAAAATTACAAGTGTATGTGTGTGCGCTTTTCCGTTAGCTAGCACCACTCCTCTCTATTTGATTTGTTTTTTTTAAATAATAATAAATGAAAAAATAAAATCTTTAGGATACACTACTTAAAGGGACACTATAGTCACCCAGACCACTTCAGCTCAATAAAGTGGTCTGGGTGCCAGTTCCCCCAGGTTTTAACACTTCAGATGTAAACATAGCAGTTTCAGAGAAACTGCTGCTATGTTTACATTGCAGGGTTAATCCAGCCTCTAGTGAATGTCTTCATGACACATTCAGCCTGCAGAAAGTCCATAAGAAAGCATTGAGAAATGCTTTCCTATGGACTGTTTGAATGCGTGTGTGGCTCTTGTCGCGCATGCGCATTCCGCTCCACTAGGGAGCTGAAGTCGGCGGGGTAGGAGAGGTCACCAGCACCGAGGGAGCCCGGCGCTGGATTAAAGTAGCTGAAGGGGTTTTAACCTCTTCAGTACCAATGGAGGGGGTGCTGAGGGTGGGGGGGACACTATAATGATCCTTAAACAATGTATTTGTAACTCTTTGCAATTCCAGTTTAGTAATTTATGACTAGAGTATTTAAGAATTACTGAAAGTATTTACACAAAAACTGAACCTATTCAGTATTATGGAAATATGACTGCAGTATTAAAAACGCACACAAAGGGTAAAGTAACGGAAACAAGATGCATAGCTATTAAAAAGAGTGCATGTATTACCCTCATAAAATATATCTTAATCTACTTAGAAACAAAAGTTCTGTGGAAAAGTTTAGAAACACATCTACGCCAAGAGGATTTAAAAATAAACAAACTTTATGTTCCAAAAATACCATTGGCCATGGAAATGAGCAGTGTAAAAAGCCCTCTGTGAGCGTACTCTTGCACATAAACAGGAGGAGAGGCAATGCTACAGGAAACTTCAAGTAATACACAGAAGGTTCTGGGTAATGTGAAATTATCTCCAGTCTGTGCACAATAACCATATGCAGCTATGCAACTTTAAGCGGAATGGTGGCTACTGCTAATTTGTTAAACATTTTATATATATTCTTGTTTCCTTTAGACTGAAAATTTGTACAGGTGTCATACACAAAATGTGTGCATGACAAGGTCACCTTCAGGTAGGTATATTTTTAATTTATGCATGATGGTGCTTGCGAAAGACTTGTTTCCAGTGCGGTCTGTAAAATTTACCAACAAGCTAACTAATTGTTAAAATTGGTGTTGCGAACATTAGCGACTAGCAATCCTGTCCGTACTTGAAAATCCTTTTTTATTATTTAATTATTATTTTTTTTAATTCTTAAATTTTTTCACACGGCTTGTACAGCAGGATACATATGACAAGCTGGCTTGCGCAGAAGCCATCAGTACAAATCACATATCAAAACCTTCTGTAGTGATGAAATAATCGGATATTACCAACTTGCTTTTGGCAGAATATTAATCCCTGTTGTCCACAGGGTATTTTTACATTTTGGTCAGGCGCCAAGTAACATGTAGAAAACCATAACTCAAAATACGTTTCATCCAGAATCTCTATGGACACAGCCTTCCCATTTTGATCATAACCGTCCTGAATATAAACTATTCCCTTGGATAGCAAGGGTAGAATAAGAGAGAGAGAGAGAGAGAGAAGGAAGAAAGAAGAGGAAAAATATAGGAGAAAAAAGAAGAAGCAAGAAGGGTGTGGGGGGGGGGGAAAGCAGATAGTGAGCCCCGCCATCACCCTCTACCAGCAGGCTCCACAAGGAACAATCAATGGTTCTGTCAAATTGTCTCATCTCTTAAAGGTCGCCCTCAGATTCCTCCCGTACACATTATGCTATTGTCCCATGGTTCCCATATTCTCTGAAAAGATACTATGGTCCCCTGTACTCTGGCTGTCGGATCATCCATTAGTTTGCTTTCTCTAATCTTAGAGATCACTCCTGAAAACCTTGGGCCTTCCGGCTGCAGCCATTTGGCCGCAATTATTCGTCTTGCGCTTAAAGTAATTTTATGCACCAATTTCTGTTCTCTTCTGGTCCATCCCTCCAGCGATCTGTTTAGGAGGTACACCCATGGGTCTAAGTCAAGGGGCCTGTCAAAAATCTGTTTCATTAAATTCTCTACTGATTTCCAGAAGCCGACTATAGTCGGGCATTCCCACCACATGTGAAGATATGTTCCTCTAGCTCCGTATCCCCTCCAGCAGTTATCCATATCTGTTTTTCGCATCCTAAACAGCTTCACAGGCGTAGTATACCAACTAAACATGGTCTTCCACGTCTGCTCCTGAAGTGTTACACATATCAAAGCGTTTTTGTTTGCTTCCCATATTTCCGGCCATTCGATGCCTTCCAGCACCTCACCGAGGTCTGCTTCCCACTGGTCCATATATCTCAGCCTACCCCATTCCGTATGCTCAGCACAGAGGTGGGAGTACAGTATTGTTATTAGTCCCCTGGGTGCCGCGTCCACCGAGCACTGCCGTTCAAAATCCCGAAGCTGGATATATTGGAAAAAGTCGGCCAGCTTTAAATGTTGACCTTGTTTAAGCTCCTCAAAACTCACTACTGCTCCGTTCTGGTACAAGTGGCAAATCCTCTGTAGGCCGGTTCTCTCTATGTTACGGCCTACAGAGGATTTGCCAGGGGGCGAATTCACTGTTTCGAAAGAGCGGAGTCAAGGGGGAGGGCGACGAGGCCAGCCCGTACTTCGCATTAGTCGCGTCCCAAATACGTAGAGAGTTGAGAAAATCGCTGGGCAGGTCGCCCGTATCTCAGGTCTGTGTTCTCTAGGGACCCACATTACGAACTGGGGCATGTCAGAGCCCACCATCAGGGACCTGAACTCGACCCATCTCCTCTCAACTCAAAAATCTTTTACAACTGCAATTCTTACCAACAACAATGCAAACTAAGCGTTTAACATCTCCCATAGAGAATAATAGGAGAATTGGCTGCACACTGAATTTTACCAGCTGCTGTTATCTTAACAAAATTAAAATTTGCCTTGGTTAGTTGGAAGTTGGAAATGTCAAGTTAATATCTGTAATCTCTCCATACATCCTTCAGGGGAAAAAACCCAAACATATTTAGGGACATCTGTCAAGGTGGGACAGGTGTTTTTGTGGGTGCAAATTGCTAAATGTTAAAGGGACACTATGCACCATAACCACGTCAGGTGATTAATCAGTTATTCTCTCAACCAAACACTGCCTGTTCTAGCTGGTATCATTTGGAATGTATCTATATTATTATTTTATAAAATATTTTACCAGGAAAGATACATTGAGTCAGTTAAATTTATGAAGCCCCTGCTGCCAAAGGATACTTGAATAAATACTAGCTTAGTAACAAAATAGTAAAAAAAAAAAAGAAATTTAAATTGAATGAAAATAGGTTTACTCCTGAGTGAGATGCCACATGTACCACATCGTGTAAACTAAAAAGATCAAATGAAATCACTTATGGCACAGCCAGAAAATACACGCCTGTTTCAGATTGGTGCAAATTAGTCATGATCCCATCTGCTTACCCATGTGGGACTATTTAAGAGGGTGTTATTGATCTAAAAGGAAGGCAAAGTATTTCAGATTTTCCTACAGCACATAAACCAACATGGACAACTTGGGATTCAGGGAAAGTTACACTGCATGTAGTCAAGGATACACATCGGATTTAATTACTGCTTTAAATACAAATATGTTAAAAAGCTGCTCTCCTTGGCGTTAATATTATAGGTTATATCACTAGCAGCAGCTGCTATTTGAGTGTTAGGGAAAACTTGTATAGTTAAAAATAGCGCAAATCCTACAACATGGAGAAAAACTGACTGCTCCAGTCTTAGTCGAAATTCTGGAACCATAGGGTCCCTAATTGCATAACCCTTCACAAGACTGGCATAAGAGGTAGGAAGTGGGGAAGAAGGAGTTTACAGATCACTTAAGGATGATCCAAGCAATTCCTTGAAAGACATGCCACCTATCTGGAAACTATTTTCTACTGAAACATACAGTATGTCCTTAACTGACCCGTTGGAGTTCAGCTTCAAGTAGCTGCAAGTTTTTAATATATAAACTTCTTACAGATTTTACGCGAGGAGTTTCTATAAGTATGACGTTTTGTGGAAAACCACACCAAATTTAGCAAGCTCAAAAATCATTTTTATTTTAGAACTATTCCCAAATAGATTATCTTTCACTGACAGCAGGGGCAGATTACATGGTCAATCTGATTTCTTTATTCTCCATTTTGATCGTGCCAGGACTTTATTGGTTTTCACATGTGACGGACCGCTGGCACTCTGACGAGTGCCTCCGCCAATCGATGCTCCTAGCGCTTGCCGAGGACTCCAAGTACTCCGACCGACACCATCAGCACAGTGGACCCCACTTCCAGCGAGGCAGCTGCGCTGGGGTCTCGCCGTCTCTCACCCACCCTGGATCCACGACCATGATCCAGCTCCCAGTGGGTGAACCTCTCCTAAATCCAGAGAGCGTAGCAGGAACAAATCAAGCTCTTACAAGAGCTTACTCTGGGGAGTAAGTGATTATAGCAATCCCCAGAGTGTAGGTATCCCTTCCCCCAAGCATGAGCCAAGGCTTCAAGAAAGGTGCAAGTTGGTCTGGTTTATTGAGGGCTACCTGCCCTGTATTTATGCAAGTGTACACTAGGTGGACACTCCCCTAGGGGACCTGATGGAACAATGGGACACATATTGGATATTAGCCAATCACAGACAATACAAACATGGCATAGCTATTTGGGGTAGCACTACTCACATACTGAAAGTCCTGAACGCCCCAGCAGAAAAACACACATAAACCTTTCTGCAGGGTAAAATACAGCTATCAGCACAGGGACCATAGTCGGAAGGCAGGAGGCTAGCCAGTAGTCCCCTCCAGGCACAAGTGGCGAAGGGTACTTCGTCACACATCTTCCCTGGGGGGGGGGGGAGAGACTAAACAGGTACCTGACCTTCTGCCGGTCAGTACCTAGGTTATGGTACTGGCCTGTAGGTTCAAGTTTATAGTGGGACAGTGCAGCACTTTCGGTCTCTCTGGTGCAGCTAGGCAAACTGCTGGTGTTGCTTGGGGGGCAGAGGCCAGCAGCCTCTTCCGCTGGGGTAACCCGTGGTAAGTCAGGCTCTGGACCAGGGGAAAAGGGAGGGCAAAGGCTAACAGCGCTCTGCCCAGATGCCAGCTCTGCTGCTGGGAAGGGGTCAATGGTATCGCAGGCTCATCCACTGCCCCCAGGACCCGGTTGGGATGTAGCTGGGGAGGGGAAGTTTCGCTTACCTTCTCCTCCTGGCATCCTTGTGGGGTTGGTTGGGGATCTGGACAGCCCGTCCAGCATGTAGGACTGGCACAGAGACCGCGGTCCCATCTGCACCAGTGTGGTTAAGATTGTCTTCCCCCTCTCCCGGTATCTCCGGCTGCTGTTGGAGGGGGAGGCCGGTTGCCCCCACTGCCCAGGACGCTGGTTGCTGTAAGGTGGAGGGATCGACCATCACCTCCTCCTGGAACTCAGGCCGCCGCTGGGGAGGGAGACCGGTTGTCTCCTCTCCCTGCAAGGTATACTGCCGCTGGGGAGCAGGACCGACTGTCCCTACTCCTGGTAGTATATGGTTGCTGTGCTAAGCTGAACAGATGTTGGTAGCTCTGCTCTAGCTCCCACTCCATTGTGACCAGGTGACTCAGGTCTGGCCCCAGGTCGTCCACTTGGGGAAGATCCAGCAGAGTTTCCCTGATGTCGTGGATGTCCCAGAGCCGACATTCTGCAGGGCATCCAGTCATTGCCCTCCTCAAAGGCCTCCCACAGTAAGCCCGGGCCATTATAATCCTCTCCTTCTGACAGATAGTGGTTAGTAATCCAGGGGTTGCGCTGGCTGGCGTACCACTTTAGTGCCCGGTAAGCTCCATCCAGCCACAACTCCTTCCAAATCAGGTCCCACAGTTCCATTACCCACTAATCCAGGGGTTGCTCCCCTAGGAAAGGTGACTGCAGGGCCACCAGTACCTGGAACCACTGTTCGCCAAGTGTTGCTGCAATCTCCAGAGAAACTCTTCTTCACACGGGGATGCTGCTTGGTCGCTAGGTCACTCCATTCTCTTGAGTTCCTCTATAGACAGGGGCACTGCACAAGTGCTAGTGTTGCCCTCAATTATAAATCCATAACTTCACACGTTACCGGTGTCTCCAAGCTGCTGGTCCTCGCCCTAGGACGCCATCCCACCAATGTAATGGATCAACTGGCACTCCGACTGGGTACCTCTGTTGAAGGATGCTCCTAGCGCTTCCTGAGGGCTCCAAGCACTGCAGCTGACACAATAACCACCGTAGACTCCTTCAGAGAGCAAAAACAGGAACAAGCTCTTACAAGAGCTTAGTAGTGATATAGCAAGAGAGTATGACTAGCATAGCAATCCCTTGTAGCAGGTTCCCCCAATAAGAGACGGCACTCAAAATTGATGGTGAAGTAGAACTGAACTTTTATTCAAACACTCTGCTTTTATGCCCATTCTACAACCATAGTACCGCCCACGGGGTTTTGAAGTTCAACCAATCAATACGTACAATGCACTCAGACACTCCCACACAAAATCCTCCCCTCTGCCTGTGATACAATTACCTTACACAATGGGTTAGTGTAATTATCACAGGCAGAGAAACACAGTTTTTACACATGTACTATAACTTTAAAAATATTCATTCAATCTTCATAAATTAAATATTATTCAGCACACTTTAATTATAAACAGTCAAAATTCAGCCAATTCCATCCAGGGGTTAAAAAGTTAGCTGGATGTCCTTTTATGACCGCAAGCACATTTTCATGTCCAAAACAATTCCATAGATTTGGGCTATGCGGTCGGTCTATTTCACACTGAAAAAATTCAGTGTAAGAGAAGGGAAGGGTCAGCGGTGTTCGTGGAACTGTGTAGCCGATTTCAGTTCCATGAATTTGGCTCCACACACCGCTGACCGCATTTGAATGAAAAAAAAAAAAAAAAAAAATGATGGCGCCGCCACGCGTTCGTTTGTGCGAACGGTGGCCACCCAGCGGTCTGCAATTTACCTACAGCAGATTCCCAGCCTGGGAGGTAAATTGCCTGCACGCTTCCAGTTCTGGGTAGTCCGCCTGTGTGGTACTTGATTCAGTAAGCCCCATTTACTGAACCAAGTGGGAAAAGGGCACAAACAAAGTATATTAGGGGGGCAGGAGACACAGTCTTAAAGGGGCATTGTTCCCAAAAGTCACAGTAGGTCCCCAAATGGTTCTTAAAGGGCCACGAGCAGCATAATAAAATACAATATGCCCAAATACTGTATTTAAAGGGCCAAATCTCCCAGGGGCCATAGTCAGCAGGCAGGCAAACAGGCTTCTCCAAAGCTCAGTGGCAAGGTCGGTTTCGCCACATCATATTTAGCTCATTCTACGGCCATGAAGCTAGACTTTACAAAAGGACCTTGATTTAGAGCATTATATATTCAGCGGAGAGAATAAAATTTTATCATTATTAGCATTTATATAGCACCAACATTTTCCGCAACACTTTTATGGAAAATTTAGACGTAAAGAAGGCCCTGTTCAAATGAGCTTACAATTTATGAAGGTAGGTGAATATACATTGTTTGGTGTCTTGACCAAGGACACTTACTGGTAAAGTGGTCTGACTGAAAGTCGAATCTAGGTTTCCCAAATTGTGTAACCACTGCTTTAGAGCCGATATAAATATTTAACCCCTTAAGGACACAGGACATGTCATGATTCCCTTTTATTCCAGAAGTTTGGTCCTTAAGGGGTTAGAAAAACAAAAAAACAAACAAACAAACAAACAAAAAAGGGTATGAGATCATTACAGGTGGGTCAGAGCTGGAGTGTGGGAACATCCCTATTGACAAGAGGCAGACTGAATAGGAGCATTGAACCTTAGCACTCTTGGCTTTGATAGTTAGCTATTCCTTGCAAACACGGCAGCCAGGACTGGTCAGGGTATAAATTGCTGCTATGTGGACAGAAATATCATGCATTGGTTGAAACGTATTAATGGTACACAGCTGTTTTACTTTTTGAAATCTTTTCACCAAATTCCCAAAAAGCAGGACACCAGGCAAGAGAATTCAAAAAGGAGGGAAAGTGTTGGCAAATCCGGACTGTGCTGCCAGATTTCCGACAGCTGTGATCATTCTAAACTTCACAGTGACTGACAATTCATTAAAGTTCTAAATCACTAAAAAACTACAGAACAATGGCTAAGAAGAAACAAAAACAGACGCATCAAAATAATTAATTATTTAGTGCTCAATATAGTAATACGTTTGTACACACTCACAGATACAGACAATATAGAACTGGTTTGCCTTATATTCACTAGCCCAATTAACTAATATGCTCAAATTCAAAAGAGTTCATAATAAAATGTCACATTTCTAATAATAGGTCAACGTGGATATAGTACACCAAGCAATTCGAGGACACATTTTGCTTTTGTTTCTGTACCATCTTCCCACCTGCGGCGTGACACTTAACATACAGATTACCATGCATGGTGATACACAGCCTCCCACTTACAGAAAGGAAACAATGCCAGAAAAAAAAAAAAAAAATTTAACTTGTAACCAAGCAGCAAGCCAGCCTTCATCTGCTTGTTGTGCTGTACATTTCATCAAGGTGCCAATTACACACAGATCGTTATCATAGTCAATTTCTTCTCTCTCTTTTTTTTTTTTCAAATAACCAAACAAAATGGGAAATCCAAGCAAATTCAGCAAACCTAAATAGTAAAACAAAAACCTTTCTTTAGAAATAGTTTTTGAAAACATGCAGATCCGTCGCTGCTCCTCAAACTGGGGACTGTGGGAGAAAAAGCCCCATGATAAAACCGTCTTTGTTCAAAGTTACTGCTAGGATTTGAATGGGTATCATTGTCCTCTACTGGACATACTCCAGGATAATTGGTTACAATACAGTGACTTAAAAACAAGCACAAAAACACACACACACACAAAAATAAATATTCCAGGAATTATGAATAACAGATTTTTCATAATTAATAGTTTAATCCATAGTTTAATTGTGTCTCTTTGGATAAAAGATTATGGTCAGAATTCGGTTTCAATTAATATAATGTACTAAAAAAAATAGAAAAGGGATTAACATTTGACATTAATAGACGTTTATCAGAAACGTGGTATATAAAACATAATACTTTTCTGATCATATTCATGTGTCACTTTATTGCTTTAGTCCCCGCCATTATGTTGTCATATGTATTATAGGAAAGATACAATGAGCAAATAAGAAAAACACAATTGTGACTTTTTTTTATTTTTTTTATCAATTGTGATTGGTTTATTCAAGACAAGATTCTGCATCAACAAAGAAAGTTAAAACTAAATAAAGCCCCATGGCTTGATGGTATTCACTCATGAGTACTTAGGGAGCCAAGTATGCAAATAACCTAACTTTTTTGGAAGTTTGCAGATGTGTTTCCAATATTCAAAAATAGTTCAAAATCTTTCCCTGAAAAGTATACTCATATGAGCTTAACTTTGGTGGTTGTGGAAAATAATTGAATGGCTATTAAAGGATAGTCAGGAATTCCTTTGGAATAACAACATAATTAACAGATATCAGCATGATTTTATGAAACATGGATCACTAAATTAAAATGGAAAATGATATACCGAAAAGTATACGAATCCTGAGGTTTTAGGCTCCTAATTTCCACTCCCCAAAAAAATCAAAACTTAGTTGACTGAAAGTATAAGACTAGGGTGTAAATGCACAAAATTTCTAAATAAAATTAGATCCTAAAAAAATTATGTATTAATTAAATATTTATTTACAGTGTGTATAATGCACTGCGTGTGTGCTTAGAGTATGTGTGTTTGTGTGTTGCAGAGCCTTAAAAGTATGCATATTATTATTTTAATTATTTTTTAATACTTTTTGTTTATTAATATTTTGTTATTATTTTATTTACATATTTTAATACGCTATATTATTATTTGTCCCCTCCTGCTTGATGTGGCAGGAGGGGCCTCCCTGCAGGTCCAGCAGTACGCTGGCAAACAGTGGAAGGCTTCCCGTGCTCTCGTGCCGCCCCACAAGCTGTCCGGCAGCATTGCCGCCCCCAGTGTAAGTTGAGCCAAGCAACATGCGTACCGCGACTACAGTGAGCTGAGAGAAGCTGCATAACGCTGAGAGAGAGAGCTGGCAGGAGCTGCAGGTAGAGGTGTAAGTAAATACTTCAATAGCTTGTTTCCGTATTACATATAAGTAATGTAAATTGCCATAATACAGACTGACTCGAGTATAAGCCGAGTTGGGGTTTTTCAGCACAAAAAATGTGCTGAAAAACTCGGCTTATACTCGAGTATATACGGTAATAGTGTAAATCAGAGTGCTGCAGTGGATGTGATCTACTTGGATTTTCCCCAGGCGTTTAAAAACGATTCCACAATAAAGTTAGTAGTCAAATTAAAAGAAATTGGTCTAGGTGAAAATCTTTATTTATGGATAAAATATTGGCTTACAGATAAGAGTACAAAGAGTTGTCAATAATTGTGCATTTTCAAGCTGGACACAGTGTTAAGTGTTGTCCCTCGGGGGTCTGTTCTGGGACAACTTCTATTCAATCTATTTATAAATGATCTTGAAAGAGGAAATGAAAGTCAGGTGCTCGTGTTTGCAATACGACATGGAACTAGGTAAGGCAATACAATGTGAGCAGGATATTAGTTTCCTTCAGAGAGATTAATATAAATAAGGAGACTGGGCACCCGAACACCAGATGAAATGATTGAGAGAGAGATTATATATATTTTACATTACATTTGGTGACATTTATCTAAGAGAGGGGGGAGAGATTTACTACAAATTTAGGGAGTAACACATGAAAAGGATTTGGTAACAGTTATGCACCTCTAACTAGACAACAATGTGCAATGTCAATCAGCAGTTGTTAAGGTCAGTAAGGTATTGTCATGTATACAAAAGGACATTATTACCTGGGACAAAAATATAATTATGCCTCTTTATAAATTAATGGCAAGACCTCACCATGAATGTGAACTTTTGCATGCAATTTTGGGTACCTGTTCTAAAGAAGGGTATTATGGCACTAAAAAAAGTGCCGACTTCTTTAAAATTTCAATCATGTAGTATTTTTCAGCAGGGACAGTTATCATTTGATCCCTGGGGTTCACCTCTCTCTCACCTGGGATCAGAATGAGTAGACCTAGACTGACCAATGCTCTCTTTGCAAAGCTCAAAATGAGCGTTGCAAACAGGCATTTTAATCCCCATTGTTACAATGCGGTGCGAGCAGGGTTAAATTCCTGCTCACACCAGGTAGTCCCAGGTATCAATGGACATCTGGGTCTCACCTCTATCAGGTGGCACTATTTTTAGCAGCCACATACATTTTGATGAGCTGCATGCAGTGCTGGGAGTCAGCACAGAATGTAGCTCCTTAGAGACATTTAAATGCCTATATCTACATCAAACATGTATTCCTGACCCTATAGTCTTAAAACCATTTAGGCTTGCCCCCCATTGCCTTCTTAGAAAGGGTTAACACTTACCACCCACAGGGAAAGCATTGAATTGGCTGAGATTGCCAAGGAGGCAGGGCCAAACAACATCTCCTTTATAGAGATGCACTGAATGCACACGTCTGTGCACATTGTGCAGCACTGCCCCAGGAAGCACCTCTAGTAGCCATCTAAGGAGTAGCCACTGGAAGTGTCCCTAGGCTTTCTCTGAAAAGGCAGTGTTTACTGCAAAAATCCTACAGGACTGACTATACTACCAGAACAACTACATTAAGCTGTAGTTGCAGTGTCCCTTTAAATAAATAGTTTATGATGTCTGCTTTATATAAAAATATACTTTTGTGTGGCAATTTTGTTTTCTGTGATGGCTTTTAATCTTAGAAGACAAACACATTTTTGTTTACTTGTATTTTGTGACCTGCAATTGCCAAAAATAAACTGAAATCTTAGACATGTGCTTAGTTGTCCTGATTTACAGAGTACATCATATTTATTTTGAATTACTTTTCTAATTATGCATGTTCTTATTGCCAAAACTGAAAAAAAAAAAAAAAAAAATTGAAAGATTTTTTTTCTTTTTATATATTATTAACCCCTTAAGGACACATGACATGTGTGACATGTCATGATTCCCTTTTATTCCAGAAGTTTGGTCCTTAAGGGGTTAAAGGAGCACTATAGGGTCAGGAACACAAACATGTATTCCTGACCCTAAAGGGTTAAAACCACCATCTAGTCCCCCCTAGTCCCCTCATGCCTCCCTAAAATAGCAAAATCTTACTTGTATTCAAGTCTGGAGCTGCTAGCTCTGGCTCTGTTTCCTTTAGACCTGCCCACTGACATCATCAGAAGTGGTAGCCTGATCCAATCACAATGCTTCCCCATAGGATTGACTGAGACTGACAAAGAGGCAGATCAGGGGCAGAGCCAGCATGATTCAAACACAGCCCTGGCCAATCAGCATCTCTTCATAGAGATGAATTGAATCAATGAATCTCTATGAGGAAAGTTCAGTGTCTGCATTCAGAGGGAAGAGATACTGAATGTTTGGATGCATTTTAGGCAGCCATGACCCAGGAAGGATCTCTAACAGCCATCTGAGGAGTAGCCAGTGAAGTTATCACTAGGCTGTAATGTAAACGCTGCATTTTCTCTGAAGAGACCATGTTTACAGCAAAAAGCCTGAAGGTAATGATTCTACTCACCAGAACAAATGCAATAAGCTGTAGTTGTTCTGGCGACTATAGTGTCCCTTTAAATGTAAATAATTTCTATTTCTCCCATAAGCTCTTTGATGAACCTACAAAACATATACATTTACCACCGTCATGATGGATGGAGACAAATTTAAATGTAGTCGCAAAGTGAAAGTGTTATAAATCCTGATTTGTCCAGCTGACAGCGTGCACCCCTGATGCGGTCTAAACACACCAAGCCAAGTCCATATGTTGGTGATAACATAATTCCAAGACCAAAGATAAATGTCAAAGCCGTCTATATCCTGTGCACGCACAAATATCATGCATTCAATTTTTTCACAAATATATTCATCATTAGGGTATTTGACCAATTTGATTTTAGTTTTTAAAAGGACCACTATAGGCACCCAGACCACTTTAGCTTAATGAAGTGGTATGGGTGCCAGGTCCAGTTAGGTTTAACCCTTTTTTCTATAAACATAGCAGTTTCAGAGAAACTGCTATGTTTATAATATGGTTAATCCAGCCTCTAGTGGCTGTCTCATTGACAGCCGCTAGAGGCGCTTCTCACTGATTTTCACAGCGAGAAGACGCCAGCGTCCATAGGAAAGCATTGTGAATGCTTTCCTATGGACCGGCTGAATGTGCGTGCGGCTTCAGCCAAGGAGGAGGAGCGTCCCCGCCCGGCACTGGAGAAAGAGGTAAATTTAACCCCTTCCTCCCCCTAGAGCCCGGCGGGAGGGGGACCCTGAGGGTGGGGGCACCCTCAGGGCATTATAGTGCCAGGAAAACGAGTATGTTTTCCTGGCACTATAGTGGTCCTTTAAAGTACAGAATGTACATGTTTTTTTCAAAATGTGCCACTATTACTTGAAAAGATAAAACGTAAAAAATAAATATAGATATAAACGTTCAAAATACACAACCCAGCACACGCACTCATTCACTAAACAATGATTTTAAGGCTCACAGAATGTAATCGTTTTATTTAAAAACACCTCACCTAGGCAAAAAAAAAAATGGGGGTTTAGTTACAGTATATGATTCTACATTGCTTAAGCCTGCCACAGTGTCAATGTAACCTAGGTCCTACTCTAGCAGCCCACTGCCCGCACCCTATGATGTATGCATGTTTAGATGAGTCCTTGAGAGAGAGAGATATTATATTATATACATACATACATACATACACACACACACACACACACACACACACACACACACACACACACACTTATTTACAGGTATTTAATTTAAAAATTATAAAAAATAAAGTCCTTTCGTTACTTTACTTAATTTATTCACTGTTGCCCTAGTTTTACTAATACACAAATATGCTGAGCAATATTTTAGTCTGCTAAAAGCGGTTGGTGTACATTCCAGTGAGGGATTGGGCCCAGCATTTTTCTGTTCTGCATACTAATACATATCTATATTAGGGATCGACCGATATTGATTTTTTAGAGCCAATACAGATACCGATAATCTGTGAACTTTCAGGCCGTTAGCTGATAATTTACAGATACCGATATTCTGTACATTTACCGTTTTGTACAAAGAAAATTTCTACACAAATCTACCGTCAACTGAACATGTTTATCATTATTATATTTTTTTTTTTATTAAAGTAAATGCACAAAATATACATGCCAGACAGAATTTTTTAGGTTTTCAAGAATATGTGTGTGTGTAGTGGAGAGATTTTTCCCGTATGGTTGCTTGATTACTGGGGTGGGAAGGCATCTGTTGCTCATTTGTCTCAAAACCAGGGTACCATACTTCTCTCGCTTCCAATGGCCATTGGTCTCCCATATTTGCATCTCCACATACAAAGCAGTTAGTTATATTAAGACTACTTGCAATACTCTCAGCCAGATCAATTAACAGGTTTTTAACAGTGTGGGGGAACTTCATCTTCAACACTCATCTTCTCATACAAGGAATGGAATACCTGATGAGTTTGGGCATTCAGGGTCTTGGTTTCAAGGTATATTTTATATAATGGCTCCTGGGTCTGTCCCTGTACCATATATTTGGAAACCGAAAAGATTCCCAAACTTATTAATGAATTGCTGGGGGTTAGATATTGTCATGTGTACAAGATTACACTCTATTGATTTACGATGAGAAGTAGTAGGTAACCTCTGAATTATCAGGTCTTGTTCTACTGTTTTTCCCCAGGTTGCCCAACCTACACATGACCAGCATGGTCCAGAAACCAGAATAAGAACATACTTCGAGATCTAGCAAACGGAATTTACAACAGAATTCGGCTAGTCTACTTGCTCCAGAACCTGCGATCTAGTGAACGGAATTTACAACAAAGTTCAACTAGTCCAGAAACCGACTGAACATATATACACCAGAATTCAGCCGGACAAACAGACCCTATGCTAAATGGGCTAGCTACAGAGCTTTTAGCTTAATTAGGTGATCAGCCACCTCTTCTTTCCAGTGGGAAAAGGTCAGATACAGATTTAATCCCTATTTGGTTTACCTTCAGTTCCTAGACCCGGGATTGGAATTCATTGACGGGACACCCCAATACCCACTGAGCAGAAGCCTATGGACAAAGAAGGCCCAATGGTGCCGAGACGAAAGGAGGTCCACGCAGTAATCGGTCCAGGGTTGTTGCCGTGGACAGGTGGGTAAAAAATGTTACCGTCTCGGCGGTCTCTGCGATGACTTCTCGGCCAATGCACTAGATATGTTACAGGGGAACTGGGAAGAAGCTACGCACAGAGAGTCGGGATACAGGTCTATCCATACAAAAATTTTGGCCTAGCTGAAATCCCATCACATTATCTTTTTTTTTTTTTTTTTTAAACTAGAAGCTCTTATTCTCTTGCAGCTATAGTCTGACAGAGTGCTATGGAAATTGCAGTCCAATAATTTTGGGGGGCTGAAGTCTCACACCCCTGGTTTTAAATGTTAAGTTTTATGTGCAAAACAATGAAATTTGGACTTAAAGGAAGAGGAGCTTTTCAAGTTTTGTCAATCAGATAAAAATACATAAGCAAATGTAGTCCTCACTTTGCCTTATGTATCTTCAAGGGACATTATAGTCACCAGAACCACTAGAGCTTAATGTAGTTGTTATGGTGTCTATAGCCTGTCCCTGCAGTCTCGGCATTGGGAACACTGCCTTGTCAGAGAAAATGCAATGTTTTTACATTGCTGCCTAGTAACACCTCTAGTGGAAATCATTAGAGGGACTTCATGATTACAGGACCTATGTTTAGTATCTCCACGCTCTGCATGGAGATGCTGAAAGCTCCTTATTCACTCTATGGGGAGATGTTGATTTGTGTAGTGTGATATTTTGCTGCACATGCGCAATATCCACCCTACAGGAAAGCATTGGATTGGTTGAGATCATCAAGACTGATGATCGCAGCCATGGAGACAGGTCAGCTGTGGCAAGTCCAGTGTTGTGATGGAGAAAAGGTAAGTAAAATACCTTTTTACTTCATTCTGTGGGGGAGTTGGTCACCTAAATAGATAGTCCAGCACTACAGTGTTAGGAATGCATGTTTGTATTCCTAAAACTAAATTATTCCTTTAAGAAAAGAAACAAGAACAGATTCGGTGTGCAAAGGGCATGACTTAGAAATATACCCATACTTGCTCTTGATTGACTTTTAAACACAAACTAGAAAAAAAAAAAACCAAAAAAAAACCACACACACACACAAAACAGAAATATGTAGCAAATTAAATATTAACATGTATAAGATCATATGAGCTATATTAGGTAAAGGAGCAACTTAGATCTGTGTCAATGTGTTGCTAGCTAAACTAGTCTGGTAAGAAACCTTTATAAGCCCTGTGTTATTTAAAGGGAAGTCAAAAACATGTTTACTAAGTAAAAAAAAAAAAACACAAAAAATAAAAATAAAAACAACCCCACACAAGCTGAGGTTGTGAGTATATTCTCAGTTAAAACACAGACAGAACAAGACTGGAGAGACAGAAAAACGGTGGCACCCTTTTTGTTATGGAATATAAGGCTCATGAGGCTCAGCCACTTGGCAAACAAACACTACCCTCCTCCCACCATTTTCTTTTTTGTAAGATGGTAAAAAACAAACAAAAAAACAAAACAAAGCAAAACTACCTCTGCCACCCCTCTCTTCCCCACACAAATGTACGGTACTCATGAAAATTGTTCTAAAAATGTTCTAAGAGGGGTTGACTTTTCTCCACCTAATTCCCCCCTTGTGTACCAAGACAGAATAATTTCCAAAACAGCTGTCAAGTTATCAGAAAAGAGTTCAGGGTAAAATGTAACTGAAATAGTGATAAATCCTTAGTTTTGTCCAAAACAGATGCACATTCAAAAAATAAAAAATGGCATTTAGGAAACAAGAAAAGGAACACGGTTAAAAAAATTCAGCATAATTAATAAATTGTAAAACTGTCCACGACATTTTTTTTAAAATATATCTTCCCCAGTGTCACATATTAATTAGCAAAAACACAAACAAAAAAACATGAATACGTAGATCTATACTCACAAGTGTCTTCGGCTTGTGCAGTGTAGTGCAATTCCGAGGCGTGTGTTTTGTGAAAAACAGCAGCTTACCTGGCAGGTTATTCTTTAAAGAATGTAGGAAATTTACTGAGCTGTACAAACACTACTATTGTCAGGACCTGTCAGCATACACTATAACAGTCCTAGCATGCAGAGCAGTACAGACAGGTATACACTGAATGTAACACTTGTCCCAGCCTGCAGAGCATGCAGAGGTGTCATAAAATAAAATGTTAAAACTATTTCTCCTTGTGTTTTGAAGAGAAAAAAAAAAAAAAAAAGGTAATTACACGGAAAATTTGTTGTGATGCCAATGCAAGTTTTTAAGACAGGCATTACGGCCCAAACCTTTAACACAACCTCTGCTGCAACAGGCCCCAAAAGCAAACACCATGTTGTCAAACACCGGGGAAGGCAAAATACCTATTGTGGCTAGATTACAGTTTTTAAAATTCTGAAAAATGCTCATTAATTTAATAAATAAATAAAAATAAAAGGAGTCAGAAGTATGACAGGGCACATGTAAACAAGATAAAATTATTAACTGAGAGATAAGGTAGTGAAAGTGCAAGATATGAAAGCAGGAGATTAGATAACAGACTGCAGAGGGAAAACAAGTAGACATAGTGGTAACTTAGTGTGTAATAGTATAATATTCAGGCAAAGAATACGGTGGCTTTAATGCATAGCACCTGGGCTTCATTCCCCATTGCCATGTCATTTCTGGAGCTTAAAGGAACACTCTGTGCACCATAACAACTTCATCTAAACTACATTGTTTTGATGCCAGGAGGTCCCTGGATCAACTTTTAAAGGGACACTCCAGGCACCCAGACCACTTCTGCCCATTGGAGTGGTCTGGGTGCCAACTCCCACTACCCTTAACCCTGCAACTGTAATTATTGCAGTTTTCATTAACTGCAATATTTACATTGCAGGGTTAACTCCTCCTCTAGTGGCTGTCTACTAGACAGACACTAGAGGGCACTTTCTAGTCCATAGCACAGGTTTTGTGAGGACCTCCAGCGTCGCTAAAATCTCTGCATGCGCATTAGGTCTCCCCAGCCGCCGGGCAGGATCAGTCTCCCCCGCCAGCTGACATAATGAAGGGGAGGAGTGGGGGCAGAGGAAGAAGCAGCGACTTGGGACATGTCGCTGACTCTGGTAAGTGCCTGAAGGGGTTTTAACCCCTTCAGCAACCGGGGATGGGAGGTGGGAGGTGGGAGGGAGAGGGAACCTGCAGTGCCAGGAAAACGGATTGTTTTCCTGGCATTGGAGTGTCCCTTTAAGTTAACGGTTTAACCTCAAAGTCTGTGATCTAGCAAGGATCTTTCTGTTCCCTCGTCTTTCCATTTGCTAAAGAGCTGAATTGTGTGCCTATAGACATTTGACATGTAAATCCAGTCTGCCTAGCCCAAGCAGGAGAGGATAACTAGCGTCACAATTGTAAAGCACTAGCAGAAGGTGACAAAACTAAAAGGTCACAGATAAAACATAAGTGAATTGCGATCTAAAATTGCACACATATATATCAAATGGCAAATTTACAGAAAGGTGAGAACTAGCAATGTATCTGTATAACACAATGCCATCTCGGCCCTCATCTGTGTAATTTAGGATGGGATCTAGCATGACAGTCCTATGACAAATATATAATATGGTAACTAGCAATGCAGTTGTACTGCGCAGGCCAAGGTTAACCTACAGTGCAGTTGTAAAGAGAACTGTGACATAACTGGCAATGCAATAGTAAAACAGACAGCAGTGCATTTAGAACACAGATGATTATCAACTAGCACTGTATTAGAAGACAGATGATGATGATCTAACCAGCACTGTATTAGAACAAAGATGATGATGATGTAGTAACTAGCACTGTATTAGAACAGATGACGATGATATAACTAGCACTGTATGAGAACAGAGATGATGTAACTAGCACTGTATTAGAACACAGTAGATGATGTAACTAGCCCTGTATGAGTACAGGGATGATGATATAACTAGCACTGTCTGAGAACAGAGATTATAATGTAAATAGCACTGTATGGGAACAGAGATGATGATATAACTAGCACTGTATGGGAACAGAGATATAACTAGCACTGTATGGGATAATATAACTAGCACTGTATGGGAACAGAGATAAACTAGCACTGTATGGGAACTAATGATATAACTAGCACTGTATGGGGACAGAGATGATAAAACTAGCACTGTATGGGAACTGGCATGGCTGGCATTGCTATTATAACTAGTCAGCCAGTGCTATAATAACTAGTCTGGCATTGCTATAATAACTAGGCTGGCCGTGCTATAATAACTAGCCTGGCAGTGCTATAATAACCAGCCTGGCAGAGCTATAATAACCAGCCTGGCAGAGCTATAATAACCAGCCTGGCAGAGCTATAATAAGTAGTCTGGCAGTGCTATAATAACCAGCCTGGCAGTGCTATTATAATAAGTTGTCTGGTAGTGCTATAATAGTAAGTAGGCTGGCAGTGCTATAATAGTAACTAGGCTGGCAGTGCTATAATAGTAACCAGCCTGGCAGTGCTATAATAATAACTAGGCTGGCAGTGCTATAATAGTAAGTAGGCTAGTGCTATAATAATAACTAGGCTGGCAGTGCTATAATAATAACCAGCCTGGCAGTGCTATAATAATAACTAGGCTGGCACTGTGCTATAATAGTATCTAGGCTGGCAGTATAATAATAGTAACTAGGCTGGCAGTGCTATAATAGTAACTAGGCTGGCAGTGCTATAATAATAACCAGCCTGGCAGTGCTATAATAAACTAGGCTGGCACTAGGTAACTAGGCTGGCAGTGCTATAATAGTAACTAGGCTGGCAGTGCTATAATAATAGTAACTAGGCTGGCAGTGCTATAATAATAACTAGGCTGGCAGTGCTATAATAATAACTAGGCTGGCAGTGCTATAATAATAACCAGCCTGGCAGTGCTATAATAATAACTAGGCTGGCAGTGCTATAATAGTATAGGCTGGCAGTGCTATGATAATAGTAACTAGGCTGGCAGTGCTATAATAATAGTAACTAGGCTGGCAGTGCTATAATAATAGTAACTAGGCTGGCAGTGCTATAATAATAACCAGGCTGGCAGTGCTATAATAAACTAGGCTGGCAGTGCTAGGCTGGCAGTGCTATAATAGTAACTAGGCTGGCAGTGCTATAATAATAGTAACTAGGCTGGCAGTGCTATAATAATAACTAGGCTGGCAGTGCTAGGCTGGCAGTGCTATAATAAACTAGGCTGGCAGTGCTATAAATAACTAGGCTGGCAGTGCCAGCCTGGCAGTGCTATAATAATAACTAGGCTGGCAGTGCTATAATAGTATCTAGGCTGGCAGTGCTATAATAATAGTATCTAGGCTGGCAGTGCTATAATAATAGTAACTAGGCTGGCAGTGCTATAATAATAACCAGCCTGGCAGTGCTATAATAATAACTAGGCTGGCAGTGCTATAATAATAACTAGGCTGGCAGTGCTATAATAATAGTAACTAGGCTGGCAGTGCTATAATAATAACTAGGCTGGCAGCACAATGCTGTGTACTCTGTGCAGATATCACTGTCAGTGTGGTAGAAGCCGGTCACCGTGCTGTACTAGGCTGGCACTGGGATGGACATGGACCCTGCTGTAATGCCGCCTCGGCTCACCTGTGCTCTGCGCTCCGCTGCCATACCGGGGACACGGCTAAACCGAGCACTCAGCTCCGGACACTGCGCCGCCCCCACAGCCGCCGCTGCTGCTGCTATCTCCGTAACCCCTCCTCTTTCTACACTCAATCCCTCCCCCCCGCCGCTCACCAAGTAGCAGCTCCGCCCCCTCTGTCATTCATAGCGCACAGCCCCGCCCCCACCGGAACCCCCAGCATCCTATTAGTTCACAGAACATGTAGCACCGCCCTTATGGAACTCTGTGGAAATAATTCCAGATACACGCCCACTGCCCAGTAGTTCGAAGCCCCGCCCACAGGTCAAGCCTGATCCGCCGACCAGCCGCCCCTCCAATCGGAGTCCGGCCAGGCACTGCAGAGGATCAGCTCGGCGCATGCGCACAGCCAATAGGAGGCGGCCGTGCCGGTGCTCCGCTCTCTAGGAGTCGGGTGTTGTGATTTTAAAGGGACATTCGGTGCTGGAAATGACCGTGTAATCATAATGCATGGAATGAATGGAAATATGATAGCCAATGATTGCTTGATGATTCAACAAATGCGTTTAAAGGGACTCTATAGCTACCATAACCACTTCAGCAGACCAGTATGGTTAAAGGGACAGTTTGGCTAAGGCACCATAACAACTTCATCTAAGTGATCAGTGTATCCCCAAGTCAGCCTCCATCGCCGATTCTCGCGTCCTCCAGACGCCGTCCAGCTTCCGATCTCTAAATCCCAGTTTCAGGAAGTGCGGAGTGCCATCGGGGAGCGGCTGGCGCTGTCAATCAATCAGTGACTCCCCATTCAAAACAGTAAAAGGTACATTACTTTTCAAGCCAGTTTTGTGAATCGGGATTTCAGATCCAGATGGAGTTGAGATCTGCACTGGAGGCACACTTTGGGGTTTAAACCCTGTAGGTAAGAGTGTGCCCAGGGGCCTTCTGGCAACCATAACAATTTTATTTAGATGAAGTTGTTATGGTGCTCTGAGTGTTCCTTAAAGGTGCATGAAGTCTATAGGAGCAAGGTCCCACTGTTTACTCACTGTTTAGAATAGATGCTTGTTCCCCTGTAGGCTGGTCCCCAATGATGAAATGGCGGGTAACAGGCAGTGACAGGATAAGAGTGACAGTTGTGCACAGTCAGCCAATCACTGCCTCAATCCCTGGTATGAATTGGTATGGTGTGAGATTAGATCTGTTATATTATAAATGAGGACCAGGCAGCAGGGACTATCTGTGCTAAATGGTGAGTAAACGCCTACAGGTTTCAGGCACCAAAACCACTTCAAACTGTTGAAGTTGTTATTGTGGCTACAGTGTTCCTGTATGCGTCATCAGCCTCCATGGAAGAGGCTTAATTAATCAGGGAACTCTCATTCTGGTCTATGGGTAGGGCAGGCGCGTCCATAAGGCGGCACAAGCGACCGCCTTAGGGCGCACCGGCCAGGGGGGTGCTAGGATGGAGTGACCGGCAGGAGGTGGATTCCTGTACTTTGGATTCCTGTACTCTGCTGGGCTGAAAGGAAGTGCTCACTAACTCACTAGCGGTCCACTCGGCCACATTATACAGAAAAGTAGGAGACACACCAACTGGGGAGGGGGCAAGGAGAGAGGAAAACTATGGGGGGGACGTAGGAATATTGTGGGAGGGGGGGAAAATGCTATGGGAGGGAGGGTGGAAAGAACACTATGGGAGGGAGAGGAAGAACACCATGGGACGGGGGAGGAGAGGAAAGAACACTATGGACAGGAGGTGAGGAAAGAACACTATGGGACAGGGAGGGTGGAAAGAACACTATGGGACAGGAGGGGAAGAACACTATGGACAGGGAGGGGAAAACACTATATGGACAGGAGGGGGGAAGAACACTAGGGGGAAGGGAAAATAAACACTGTGGTAATGGGGGAACCACTAAAAGAGAAGGAAGAGGAACACTAAGATGGGGGGTGAAAGGAACATTAAGGCGAGTGGGGGGCACTAAGAGACAGGCAAGGGGGTGGGAAGAGGAACACTAAGGGACACGGGAGGGAGGGGAGAGTAACACTAAGGGACAGGGAGGGGAGAGTAACACTAAGGGACAGGGGAGGGAGGGGAGAGGAACACTAAGGGACAGGGGAGGAAGGGGAGAGGAACACCAAGGGACATGGTGGGGAGAGTAACACTAAGGGACATAGAGAGGAGAGGACCATTAAGGGACGGGGAGGGGAGGGGAGAGGAACCCTAAGGGACATGGTGGGAAGAGTGGCACACAGGTGGGCCTGAGGGGGGAGAAAGACACACAGATTGGCCTGGGATTGAGAAGGTCCACAGAGGGGCTGGGGATGAAATCGCCACACAGAAGGGCCTGTGAGTGGAAATACAAAGGGGCTGGGGGTGAAAGCGACACAGATGGGTTGGAGAAGAGGAAAAAGAGACACAGAGGGGCTAGGTGGAGATAGACGGGCTGGTGGAAAAAGAGAAATACACAAAGGAGCTGGTAAGAGTAAAAGACACAAAGGGACAGGGAGACAAGGAGACACACAAAGAGACTGGGGGAGTAGGAAACACAAAGGGGGTTAATAAGATACACAAAGGAGGTTTAAGACACACAATGGGGAAAAATAGGGGATAAGACACTAAAGGCGGTAAGACAGTTAAAACGGGTTAAGAAACAAAAGGCAGGTTAAGAGGCACACAGGTGAAGATGCTTTGGGGGAGGGGGCTCCAAAATCATCTTTGCCTGTGTACCCAAAAATCCTTGCACCGGCCCTGTCTATGGGGTCTAATCATATCTCAAAAAGAGTTCTATTTTACGTAATTCAATTATAGCAACACTTCTATTAACGGACCACTATAGGCACCCAGACCACTTCAGCACAATGAAGTGGTCTGGGTGCCAGGTCCTTCTAGTTTTCACCCTGCAACTGAAAACATTTCACTGAGGGTTAATCCAGCCTCTAGTGGCTGTCTCACTGACAGCCGCTAGAGGCACTGCCGCGATTTTCACTGTGAAAATCACAGTGAGAAGACACTGGATGTCCATAGGAAAGCATTGAGTAATGCTTTCCTATGGGCTGTTTGAATCCGCATTCGGTGCGAACGTCGGCAGGGGGAGGAGAGGTCACCAGCGCCGAGGGAGCCCGGCGCTGGATTAAGGTAAGTAGCTGAATGGGTTTTAACCCCTTCAGCCCAGCGGGAGGGGGGCCTAATGACCCTATAGTGCTCCTTTAATCAGATAGGAAAAACACTTGTAGGTACACTCAAAGCATCAAAATAACTTCAGCTTAATGAAGTGGTTTTCGTATAGACAGCATACCTCTGCAGTGTCACTATTCAGTTCTCTGCCAATTAGAAGCTAAATTACTTTGCTTGTGGGCCCTAATCACACTTCCCCTGCTTGAGACTCCCTAAGCACCCCTACGTATGTTAATAACAAAAACACAAGAGTGAAAGTGTTGGTCCATTGGAAAGTGAGATGGGTGAGTTATTCAAGTACGACCAGGACAAGGCATAAATTCTAAATTATTTTTCGTCACTATATGGTTAAGACAGCTCTATTGCAGTAGATTTGCAAATCCCTGTTAAAAAAAGGCTTAAAGCAAATAGGGCAACTTGTTAACAGAGGATAAATTGCTTCAAAAATCAAATAAAGTTAATGTAAACATAGCCCCACGACCAGATGATATTCACCGACGTGTGCTTAGGGAGCTTAGTGTAGAAATAGTCATACTAATGTTTTTTTTTGTTTGTTTTTTTCAGTATTCTTTTCTTTCAGGAAGTGTATGGAGGATTGGAGAAAAGCAGATGTGGTGCCTGTATTTAACCCCATAGTGACCATGGATGTATCGGGATACGTCTGGGGGGAATTAGAGCGCTGGAAGCGATCATGATTGCTTCCAGCAGGTCTAATGGTATTGCAGCGATGCCTTGATGTTGAGGCATCGCTGCAATACCCCCCAGATACAATTTGTGTAACGGTTCCTTTAAATAGTTCACTTAATTTCCCAGTCTATCACTTTAAGAGTCTAATTGACGTTCATGGATTCACCTATTTAAACCTTCAACTTCAATGCCTCACTGCACAATTAAGGTGTCTCTACCTGTAATCAGCTGACACCTATTTACTCTGCTACAGGTACCTTTCTACCAAGTCCCAGTGACTCTTCCAATTCTACTCAAAGTTAATTACCAGTTAAAATTATTTGCTTATTACTTATTACTGACCCGGATTGGATTTGACCTTTCTCCTGGATATTCCTATGGACTGATTTACTGTTGCCAAACTGGATTGGACTTTCACAAACCTTTCGGATTTTCCCTATAAAGTTTAAACTGAATGGATTATCACCTAAACGTTGCTCTCAATCCTGGTGATTATCCTTTATTCTCCCAGACCGACCTCTCAAACTGGTGAGTAGTCTTTATTTTTAACTTGTTTGACAAATATATATTGTTTAAAATATTACAGATTAACTGTGCCTAAAAAAATTGTCAAACCATTTTAAATGGAGACTACTGCCTTTTATATAGGCTTTTCAAGCCATACAAACCAGAGTTCAAGACCATATAATTGTCCTATCAATTTATTGGAAGGATCAAAAATTCCTTTTAGTCATATATATCCTTTATCAGAACCGGAACTTAAAACCCTCTGTGACTAACTTGATACTAACTTAGCAAAAGGATTCATATGTCATTCACATCTCCTGCAGGAGCAGGTATTTTTTTTATTACCAATAAAGATGGAACCATCAGACCAATAAATGATTACCGACAATTAAATAAAATAACCATAAATAACCGTTACCCACTCCCACTAATCCCTGAAATTTTGGAGAGAATTAAAAATGCTAAAATATTTACAAAACTAGACCTCTGGGAAGCCAATAACCTTCTCCGTATAAAAACCGGAGATGAATGGAAAACAGCATTTAGAACGAGGTATGGTCATTTTGAGTACTTAGTGATGCCATTCAGCCTTTGTAATGCTCCTGCCACCTTCCAACTTTTCATACGTGATATTTTCAGGGATTTCTTAGATGATTTTATGGTTGTTTATTTAGATGATATCCTTATATTTTCACAAGATAAAGAGATACACATCAAACAAGTAAAAATGGTACTCCAAA